TTTTTTTTTTTTTTTTTTGGTACCGGGGATCGAACTTGGGTCCTTGTGCTTGCAAGGCAGGCTGTGGAACCACTGAGCTAAATCCCCGCCCCTATTGCTTGTTTTTTAATTGGGTTGTTTGTCTTTTTGTTGTTGAGTTGTAAATATTCTTTATATATTATGAATACTAGACCCTTACCAGACATATGCTTTTCATTACTCATTTTTATGTTTAGTAGAGCAAAGCATGTGTATTTATCCATGACCTCTCTTGCCCCAAGATATCATGTGTTTATACTTGGAGACTATATCTGAGTTTATATGTTCTATTTTATTTTCTAGAATGCCTCTCCATATGGAACATAAAATTTCAAACACTACAGACTTCAAAAGAGTTACCACAAGGGACTAGTGGTCAAGTAAGTGTTTCCACTTGAAAACTTTAAAATTTAGTTATTGCTGTGCCTGATAAATATTCTGTGAGGGAAGAGATCTCAATATGATTAAAATAAATTTTACCTGAAATATTATAATTTTGTTATTGTTTTAAGAGTTTCTATATATTTGTTACCCGTTTTTTGAGAGTCTATGTAGCCCAGGCTTGCCTTGAACCTGTGGCAATCCCCGTCTCAGCCTCTGGAGTGCTGAGATTACAGGTGTGTACCATCACACCCAGCTCAGTGCTTGTGACTGTATTTGTTACTTTGAAAGGACTAAACTATAGCTAGTTTTAGATCAAGGGAGAACAATCAGCTCCTCTTTTCATTTGATCACTTTGAACTATACCCCAAGGGTGTTATTTTTCCTAGTAAATTAGTCTTTTACGTTGTATGGAATTACTTAAAGAATTAAAGTAGCTGGGTATGGTACCACACAACTGTAATCTCATCATTCTGGGAGGATCACAAGTTCAAGCCCAGTGTGTATAGCTTACTGAACTAGTGAGACGTTGTCTCAAAAATATATTTTTAAAAAGGGGGACTGGGAATGTAGGTCAGTGGGAAGGCCCTAAGTTTAGTCCCTAGTACTACCAAAAAAAAAAAAAAAACTAAACAAGGACCCTTGCCTATGGTCAGTTTAAATTTTAATTTTTTTTTCTTTTTATAGTACTGGAGATTGAACCCAAGGCCTCTACACTGAACTACATTCCCAGCCCTTTTTTAAATTTTTGAGTATTGGTGTAGTGGCACACACCTGTAGTACAAAAGATTAACAGTCATAGCCAGGCTGGGAAACTTACTTGTCTCAAAATTAAAACATAAAGGCCGGGGATTTAGCTCAGTGTTTCCGCTGCCTGACTTTCAAGTACAAAGTGCAAGGTCCGGAGTTTGATCCCCAGTACCCCCCCAAAAAAATTAAAACAGGCTGGGGATGTAGTTCAGTGCTCTCTGGGTTCAATCTGCCCAGTCAAAAAACAAAAGAGACCAGGTTTCTCAGTATACAATATAATTCTCATGTGTATTTATTTAGAGAAATGATTTAGCTCAGTGGTACCATGTCTGCCTGGCAAGCACAAAGTTGAGTTTGATCCCCAGTACCAAAAAAAGAAAAATGATTTATTTTTTTAAATAGTTCTACTACTCTAACAAATTTATTTTTTATTTTCATGTTCTTCCTGCCTCAGCCTCCTGAGTGCTGGGATTATAGGTGTGCAGCACCACATGCAGCTTTCTTTAAGCTTTTTTTTTTTTTTTGGTACTGGGGATTGAACTCAGCTCCGTGTGCTTGTGCAACAGGCAGCGAAACCACTGAGCTAAATCCCCAGCCCTCTTTAAGCTTTTTTTATTGTTTGTCTACCTGTTTTTTCATAATCTTTTAATTGGAATCATAAGCTATAGTGTTTGATTCTGCTTTTTAAATACAATACATCATTGATTACATTTTGTTATAATAACCTTAGAAATTACTGTGTTAATAGCTGTGTAATAGCAACAGGATTAGTTTCAAGTAATTCATTTATAATACTTCAGACTTGACCCTACCCCAGTTAGGAAGTTATACCTATGAGGTGTAATGGAAAAATACGGTGGGTGGTATGTATTTTGGGGGTTTTGGGGTTTTTTTTAGATAGGGTCTCAGTGTTACCTCTGCTGGCCTCAAACTCGCAGTGATCCTCCTGCCTCAGTCTCCTAAGTGCTGGGACTCAGGTGTGCACCACCACACCCAGCTCAGTTTTCTCTTCTTTTTACATAAATGGTAGCATAAACTGTTATATACTTTACTCACCTACTCACAATGTTTTAGAGATCTTTCTATATTACCATATTATTTTCTTTCTTGCTTTTTTTTTGAGTAGCTGCATAATATTTCATTGGATTCTTTGCAGTATTATCCCTCTCTTAGCTAGATATTAGCCATCCATTCTTTTAATTATATTAGCAGTAAAATTAACATAACATGAGGTTAACCATATTAAAGTGAATAATTCAGTATCATTTAGTACGTTCACCATGTTATATACAACTGCCACCTCTATCCAGTTTTAAAAACATTTTCATCACCCCAAAGAGAACCCTGTACCCATTAAGCCGTTGCTCCCCATTCTCCTGGAATCATACAGTACTTTTGTGTCTGACTTCTTTCACTTAGCATAGTAATATCCAGGTTAACCCACACTGTTTCATATATGAGGTGGTTTTTTGGGTTTGTTGCTGTTTTTTGAGACACAGTTTTGCTATGTAGCCGAGGTTAGCCTTGAACTCCCTCTGTAGCCCAGGCTGGCAGTCCTTCTACCTCGAAAGCACAAGGGTCTGAGTTTGATCCCCAGGACCAAAAGAAAAAAAAGAAGCGTGTACTACCACACCCAGCTTTCAGTATTTTCTTTAAAAAAAAGTTGTTGTTTTTTTTTTACTTTTTCTGGGGAACGATAATCTGTTGTATGTATATACCACAATTTATTTATTCATTGATGGATATTTTAGCTGTTTCAACTTTTGGGTTATTGTGATAATGGTATTTACATGTATTTGAGTACCAGTTTTTAATTCTTTTGAATATAATATTTAACTTTTT